TTCTTGTTTCTTTAGGAAGTAAACGCAGCTTCTACTTAATTGCAAGTCAGTAGCGAGTAGTGATGCAGAGATGAAGGAGCACCAAGTTTGTTTGCTAATCCTCCTGCACATTTCCCAAGTTTTCACCGTTACAAGTGACCCAATGTTTCATTTAACAAAGACACGAGGAAGCGCGCAGAAAGGAACGCGAGGCGGATAAGTGGTTGGAGAGATTCAATGCACACAGCAAGAAGCAAGAGGACCTCTTCCAGCAATACGCCAAACGGGTAAGATGACCGAGTCGCATCTGCACATTTAGCTGAAGTGCACAAAGGTATCATATAAAAAGACAATGGTACAATCGCAGGGAACTTATGCATTTATAATTTGGCGATTCCGTGTGCGAATCGTAGTTGGAACAATGGCTGTCCACCAGTTGGTGCTAATGTGCTTTGCTTCAGGTTATTGGCACCTGTGAAGAAACCGGAATAGCTACATTTGCGATGAGAAAAGCTGCGCATCCATGCATGGCGATGGATGAATTAACACTCAGTGTGGCTAAAGACATTGCGATTGGTGAGGAGAAGACGGACGAAAAATGTACTCTTCTCCCAGATCTACCACCACATCAGGAATATCTGAGTCCATGAACCTCAAATACTCGAAAGGTCTATTCACTGCTAGAAAAGTGACGTTCTATGGCACAGAATAATACAACTGCAGACATTGTCTTCCTTTTGTTTCGATTACCACACACGATATTTTGATTAATTTCAAGAATGCATTTCAGCCTAATTTAAGTAACCGCTACTGATTGTGAAAACATCAAATTTATCCCTTAAATGCACAACACAGGCGACGCATTTGTGGCCATGTAGAGTCAAATCACTCAAAGCGAAATGAAATGAAACGTGGAAAGCATTTGCTGAGAAGTTATCCTGCTCCATTCCACTGCACGGAACCAGTTACAACAGATGGGAAGTAAGGAGCATGTAGGTTTGCAGCATGACTGAGTACTTGGTTTTGGCTATCGAAATAATATGCGACTCATTAGGATGATGGCAATCCTATGCAATCAGGTAAGAATAACAGTGTCATGGCCTTACCATAGAGATACCGGCGTCTTCGGCACTGGTGCACAGACAATGCCGGCTCCTCTGAGCTTCAAAATGGGTTATATCAAAAAGGAGTCAACTTTGCACGTCATTTTGCACTCCACTGTGAGAAAAACACCGGTCACCATTGTGAATGAACATGAGAGGGATCTTGGCATTTGGCTTGGCCTCTCGTTTAGGCCGAGCTGCTACCTTAGTGAACGTCACGTGAATGCAGCAGCTAATATCTGGAGTTGAGTGTGTTTCTAGTACTAAGCAATCTCTGAGATGTACTGCCAGTGGTTGGGTCCACAGAAGTAGATTGCTCCCTCCTTGGCGGTCGGGGCCCAACCATTTGCTCCCCAAACGTACAACCACGCTGCTAGTTCAGGTCACCAACACACCACTGAAGAATTAGGCACAGATGGTCGACAATGGCTGCGAGTGCTTCTTTGCACCAAAGTTGCACCTAATGCTCCTAAACATACCTACACCTCCTGCAGAGTTCACCACCGTGGACTCCTGGCATTTGTGGATGCATGTCTGCATTCAGCTGCAAATTAAATAGCCCATCTACTGAAGTTCGTGCAACAGATCCTGCTTCCACAGGAAGGTTCCTCGCACAAAACTGAAGTTCCTAGCTATTTATACACACGGCCTGATTCAAGGACGTGACTACAATCCATCAGCGTGTAGCACATCCCCTTTTCCACTTACAAAAGAATATTTAGCTGATTCATGTCGAGATCTCCAGTCCTCTTCCTCTCCTCAAAACATTCACCCGCATCAATTTGTAGTCCCTGAGCTCCCCCTGCCTTTTTACTTGACACTACTGTCCACTGCCACCTCTGCATCCGCATCACAACGAAGCCCTCCAAGCAATACCTTCCCATCTTTTCAGAGGAATATTAGATTAATTGGCTCATGACGGGATAGACTAGCACCCATTCGGCTGTCACTGCGCAACCCACACACCTCCGCCTACCTCTCAATTCATGGAAAATCCTCCACTCCACACAACCCAAAACAAAAACACTGAGGCAGACAGTAGAGGGAAGAGCGAGCATTAAATGGGGGGAAAAGCAAACAACGTAGACCAGCATGACTAGTGCAGTAAGAATGTGGATGACGGCTACGAGCGTGTGAATGCAATTCGCTTCGTCTACGTATGCCACATTTGGAATCAAGTGTTGCATTTCTGCAACTCAGTGAAATTAAGGCCAAAATTAGCCCTGAACTCTGCTGCACTACTTTGCAATGGTGGAGCCGCGTAGGCAGAACAACATGTTTGCCGGACTGACGGGTCTACAGTGAAGTAGGGGCTACAGTAGCTAATGCCGTATAAAGCAGAAAAACGTTTGCACAAATTGTCTTTTACCTTAAGGGTTACAAGAATGGTAGTATCCACCTATTCACAAAAGCCAATTTGATGACGGTTTGGGTGAGGAGTGAAGAAAGCATTGTCTTGCATAGTATTTCGCCTGGTCGGTGAAGGCAAACGAAAGGAAACAATAGAGAGAAGAAGAACTTAATCGCACACAATGGTGACCGGACTCCAATAAGTCAAAGTGGTGCCAGACCACTTGGTACACCCTCGATCCGTCCACCGATTATCGACTTCCTAAAGGACATGACATGACCACCACAAACCTGCCTCCCTATTTCATCATAATTGCACCCCAAAAGGCGACTACACCCTGTAGCTCTATCAGCGAAGAAGGAGGTTGAGGGTTGCAATACACCTATGATGCTAAGATCCTCCATTATAATTGTTAAGATCAAGTCCACCTTAAATGGCCATTGGAGAGCATTCGGACCTATTTTTACCAATAACATTATAGGAGTAGCAATGGATATGAAGCACAACTGAGAAGTTTCCAGGCACACCTCCCTCCTGTACTCACCTTCTACTCGTCGATATCAGCACTATCGTCTTTAGCTCCAGTGAGTTGCATAAAATCACTTCCACAAATTGAGCATTGAACTAGTAAACGGAATTTTGGTGTTGCAAATACCTGAACCAAATTTACGCCATTTCGTTACTTCATTCCACCACCAATTCTACCCACTTACAAATCCACCCTTTTATTTCACAATGGATGAACAAGCCTTAGTCACATACACTCCTACTTACGAACGGAGTTTCCACCCCGACACTGCAAGTGCCACTGATTCCCCACCCCCACACCGTCTACAGCAACACTAATGGTAATAATGCCAAATCTGGCCCAAACAGACCAGGCATTACCTCTTGAGCATGTCTTGACGAGGCGGTCCATGTCGGTGAGAGGAATGAATGCACAAGGGCGTAATAAGGGAAATTGTGAAAATATCTGTGCTGGTGAGAAGCCACGTTGGAGGTAGGAGAGAATTCAATAACGCCTTCGAAATGGCGCTTATGCGACGAGACATTGTTACGTGATCGGCTGTTTGAAGGATCACGTGTGCGCGCAAATGAAGGAATAGCCACCCGCGTGTCCTGCCACCCTACACGCAGTCCAATCACTGACATCTAGTATGTATGGCCATATCTACACTCTCCTCCCCCTCCACCCTCAACCATGTTCCGCTAACTGACCTCCGACTTCTAGCTGAGGTATGCATGTCATTGACGCCTAAGCGGTGGGTGATGACAACTCACATGTCACCAACATTGTTATCATCACTTTGACGCATGCATGCGTGATCATGTCTTGATGACTGCTCTCAAATGAAGTGATCGCGTATCTGCTG